ATTAACTGGTGAGTGTAGAACACCATAATACGTATCGTATGAGAGAGAGAGGGAGTGAATGTATAATATTAAGGTTTTATAATTAAATAGATTTAAGTAAAATATATATATAAAGTATAATTATACATATTTTAAACATTCTGGTACCCACACACATATACGGAAATTCCTAGGGGGCCAATCCTACTTCGCGGATTTTCAACTATCGCGAGGGGTTCCGGTCCCCATTAACCGCGATAAACGAGGGATCACTGTATTACCAATTTTGACCTTTAGTTTTGGACGTGTTAAATTGGATTTATACACTTTACGTGTACTCTGTCATATTCCTCTGTACTCATTTTAAAGGTTGAAATACCGTCATATAACGCTCCGTCTGAAAGAGCAACATGACGAATGCACTGATACTCCACTACCTGTTTTACTTCATACATACAGCCATCAAACAGAGCATAGCAGATGCCTAAACACTGCACACAATACTTATAACAGTAACATATTATTTACTGTAATTACACAGACATGGGATGCAATCTAAAGCTATTTCCGTGGTTACACATTTTAAAAATACAATGCAGGGTGTGCATATATTTATTCAAGCCTGAGGTGTGTTCCTGCATTGCATTACACTACTGTACGTAGCTTAAGGCGAGCTCAGGAACAAGAGGGGATTTTTGGGGGTTCCCCTATTTCCTGATAACGCCTGCCATATACACAATGACACGGAACCGGCAGGGAGTTTATCGGCAAAGGTAGTTTTACTGGTAGGAACCACCTGGTTCCACCAGCCCACAGGGGATTATTGTGTCCGTCCGTCGTGCATCCAAAAATGGGAGGGGTCGGGCTGGGTGGAGAGGGGAGGGTGGGGTGGGGGGTGGGAGGGGTGGGGCTGGGTGGGGTGGGGAGGGGTGGGGCTGGATGGGGAGGGGCTGGTCACCCCGTGGTGCCCTTATAAAACTCAACGTTTAACCTACTCACGCCGGCTTGTGCCCGCCCTCACAGTCGGCCATATTTTCGGAATACACCACGCCGCCGTTGACCCTGGCCATTGACCGGGCAACCCAACGTTCCTACCAGCTCCCTCCGCAGGAATGTGTTATCAGCACTGTGCGCTAAAAGCATTCTAATCATCACGTCTTAACGGGGCAGAAACAATGAACCGTCTTGCAGGGTTAATTTCAATAACAACTGCTATTAATGTCACACAAAAGTACATTTGGCATCTGAATCGTTTTTCACAATGCACATTTTGAATGATGGCCAAGCTTACTCGTATACATTCGATCTAAGGTTGCCTCAGGTACGCAGACTCGGTTCAACATACAAACCTGCTTTTTGTCAATGTCTCGATGCTCAGAATATATAGTATATACTGTACACCTATCCGTTATTCGATACGCAAATCGCATGCATTTCGTATTGGTTCGCCATCTAAATCATCCAGCCCCAGCACCGCTCACTAAATAGGGGCCATCCATTTAGCACGTACGCATGGAGGGGGGAGTTAACCCAAATGCGTACACTTGCGTTTGGGGGGGTCTATTGACAATGTACGCATAGGAAGGGGGGGGGTGGGGGTGAATCCTCGATAATAATTTGTCTACATTGGCCTTCAAATGAGCCACAGTTCGATTACTTCAGCCGTCAGACCAAGTACTACCGGGAGAAGTAGGACTGTGGGAGAGGTGTCACTTGTGTGCCACCGTGCCCCTGACTGCAGCTATCACGCAGCTCAGCAGTGAGTCTGACATCGTCTGACGGCCTGACCCACCATGGATGATGATCACACATCCTTCAATCTGGCCTCACTGCAAGACTGCCACTGGCTCAAGGTTTTAGCTGTCGCAGTGCTTTGTTCGTGCTGCTGCTGCTGCCCGGTCTTCAGCACTAACACTCGTCTGTACATCGGACTACTTCTACAGCAGATGTTCAGTCGACGCACTTTATATAGAGACTAGTTCACCGAGTTTTAATTGTGTTTTAAGATCATAATAGACGTGTTTTTGAATAACCAGTCAGCTTTGTACAAACAGTTATACTTGACCGTGTTATCCATTCTGTGTGTAAAGCTAGACCTGGCGTTTGAACCTCGAGGACACTTAGACAAACTTTTTAAAGGTACGCAACTTAATTATTTAATGCAGCCGACGGTGGACTATCGGTTTGCTTAAACACGTTCATATTATTAATCCTTGATCGTTTCTGCGGGGATTAAATATTGGCCGTTCTATAGGATTGGGTGGGGGGGTCAAGCGTACGTATGCCGGTGGGGGGGCTAGGGGTGTAAAAAGTCCGCGTGCGTAAAGATGAGATGGGTGGAGGGGTCAAGTTTTGACAGATTTTTTGCGTACCTACTAAATGAATGGGCCAATACCAGACAGATTTGCCGCACTATGATCAGACTTACTCTTAGTTTTTTCGGTAAAGTCACGTAGGTAAAAAATGAAATTAAAATTAATAAAAATAAAATAAAAATAACGACGTTTCGGAGGCAACACAAGTCTCCGTCATCAGGTGGGACCGTCACAGCTAGATTTTTACCTACGTGACTTTACCGAAAAAACTAAGAGTATGAAGCCTTGCAGTCACGAAAGCTTCAAATCTAGAATGATCAGACTTGCCATAACCTCACCCCCTCCACAAGTATGATTTTAACACGGTACAGTAATCCAACGCTTCATGCCCAGTTCCAAAAATACACAATAGGGTAAACTCCAGAACATCTTTGTGGTTGCATTTGAGAGCTAAAACGAGAGGTAAGCTCCAATAAACACGCCTCGGTAGGGGGCTATCCTCGAAGCCAATGCTTTGTTCCTAGGCTAAGAGGAGTGTAATAATGGTATGTACTGTACTCTTAGGTTTTTTCGGTAAAGTCACGTAGGCAAAAAATTAAATTAATAAAAGTAAAATAAAACAAATTAAAAAATTCACGACGTTTCGTGATTGTTTTATTTTACTTTTATTAATAAAAATTTTTACCTACGTGACTTTATTGAAAAAACCTAAGAGTATATATCCTTGCAGTCAAGAAAGCTTCAAATCTAGGTATGTACTGTATCCCATTGCTTAGAACGAGCACAGGGTATATATATATTCCTGCCTGAATGTGTTTTTTAATAAAGCAGGGCAGCACAAGCTAGCACCTCTGACTAGCACGGTTGGCTACGAATGGTGCGAAATAAGTTCTACATCTATGAGCTGGTGAAAACTTGACAAATATATCTCTCATGTCATCATCTCCCTTCCATATTTATGTGGAATGCCTCTGTTCATTAGTTTATCATGACATGACGCTCTAATGATTGTGATGACTTTCACCACCCCCTCCCCTAATCTCCCTTCTCTACTTGTGTTTACAAAATGGGACCTTTTTTGCCAGTATCAAAGTATTTCTTGCAAAAAGGTTTCTATTTGGTGTTTGACCATCTGAACACATCTTTTATTGCCAGAAAGGGTAAAACGTATTCTTATTTTTTTCATACTTTTGTTTAATTAAATTTAATTAAAACTAAAATGGACAAACGTCTCAATTCAAGCCCCTACTATGTAGCCTTAAGTTGCATTTTGTAGCCGCTGTTGATTGATAAACGCCCTGCACTGTCAGAGACAGAGACAGTCGGACGTTTAGGGAATTTCCAGAAATGACCGAACGTCAGAGTTGAGCTTCACACAACTACTACTACTAGAGTACTCATCTTCTTAAAAACACTCTAACCCGTTGCAATGTTACATTGTAGTTTCATCCAAACATCGACTCAGCAACATACATTGCAATCCGGTCCTATATAGACTGCGTCGTACGTACTGGATATTTAAAAACAAGTTTGAGGAATTAGTCTTCCAAAGCAGAGCACTTCTGCAATTTCTGACACCCAGGTAAGGGTCTTCCCGCTTAAGTGCAGTATTGGATAACATTTAAGTATTCGTCTTATTGTACAGTACTTTAGTTAAAGTATTGTTTTTAAAATGCCTGCTTTGAACATGCCACTGTGAGTCTATAGCTGTCACCCTGCAAGAGGTTTGACGTTTTAAAACAAACAACTTAACAGATTCATAATACTGCGATTGTTGGGGGTTCGAACGCGTAAATATAAATGTGTCGTTAAACCCGCCACCACCCGACACAGCCAACTAGTAAGGTTTGTCTCATAAACAAAACGTGTCAATTCGTTACTATTACAGCACACCGGTGTGTTGGAAGAGTAAATACACAACATTTACAAGCTTAGTACGACGTTTCGCCAGTAATTACAACCGGCATCGTCAGGCGACAGCAGATTGATCCGAATTTAAAACACGCACACAAAGACCCCTTGTTATAGCCCGAACAGACTGTAGGGGCAAGTGCCGTTAGCGAATAGCAACCTAGGAAGGCCGGCACCACTCCCGGCCGCCTTTGTCTCACCCAGTGGCGATGTTTACACACCGCAACCAGTTACTCATTTGAGGCTGAGTCCACCTTAGGGGGAGGTCCAGGACCGGTTCAGATAATCGTCATCGGTGTTGACCGCTTTACACACACACACACACCCAGCCCCGTAAATAGTGTGTACATGTCCATCTATTTATAAACACCCCACTAAAACGTTTTGGTCAAAATCACCGAATTGAAATGTTTAAAAAAATATAAAACGCGGAACATTTCAGAGCGAACCACGTCTCGCGTTAATTTAACCAGACGCGTTAAATGATAAACTTGTTACGAAACATGTTGTCCTCCCTCTGCCAAAAGACACGGGCGCGGAGAGCCACCTTCAATGTCCACAATTCACTCAGGAATCAAGAAGATGCTCGGTGTAGTCAGCACTTTGCTTCGTTCATCATTTAGTTTTTTCTAGTTTTTTATGCTTTATGTAAAATATTTCACAATAGATTTCACGCTCTGCTCTCCTTACCCCATTCCCCTCTCTCTCCCCCCTCTCTCCCTACTCCATGTCTGTGTTCCTCCACTTCTCTCGCCTACTCACGCATCAAATATCATCTCGGCACAGGTAACTCACGAGGTAGGTGTGGGGGAGGGTGGTGGTGGTGGTGGTGGCAGCCTCCTCCTTTGCGTTCACGTTATTGTAGGGATGGTGGTGTTGGTAGTAGTGGTGGTGACACAAGTCTTCCGTGCAAAAACCTCGATTTACCCTCCCCAAACGGCGAGGAAGCTCTTTTAAGTAAGAAATGCGTCGGCTATCGCTCCCGCCCACCACCACACACCACCACCACCTCCTTCCTCCCTTCGTGTGCGTGGCTGGCACAAAGTGACAGAAGGCGAGACGGGAAATCCCCTTTCCTCGTGGCCAATGGCAGCGATGGGTGGAGCAAAGTGAACCCCGAAAAGAACGGGCGGGGGGAGCTCAGATTCGGACGTGAAGCCGAGGAAAGAACAACAACGAAGGGCAATAAAGGACCCCCCCACTAAACAGAATTGTTGGGGAGAGAGGGGGGTGGCAAGTTTTGCCGTGAGTGAGAAGCAAAGCCTATGAAGGCCGGCACGAGGGTTGGTAGGTGGGTGGGTAGCACCACGCCCGGCCGTATTTGTCTCCCCCAACAGCCACCAAGGTACTCGTTTTAGGCTGAGTCGACCTTAGGGGGGTGGGGGAGAGGTCCCGGGTTACCGGTTCAGATAAGATCGGGATCGTAGCGCGGCGCGCTGACCGCCACTAACACTGTCGCTCACAAACAGCAACATCGTCATTCATAAACAATACAAACATTGGCCATTGTTCTAGTCTCTAATTTTTGCGTAGGGCAGCAATATATTATATCGATCCTCTGTTGAAGGATCCCCAAACTGCAGTGCTTCACGATATGGTCCACAGTTTGGGTTAGCGTGGTCACCCATCGCACGCCTGTCGCTTTTTTCCCATAACGGGTCCTCTATAGGTCTCTGAATCTCTACAGAATGGGTCTCTGTGAGTGTCTCTATGGGTTTAGTATATGGGGGAGCGGTAGTGTAGTCCTTCGAACGCTGCGCTACGAACCCGGTGACCAGAGTTCGACTCCCCATCACGGCCAACACCAGTGACGAATTATCAGAACCGGTCCTGGGCCTCCCCATAGGTCGACTCAGCCTCAAATTAGTACCTGGTGCGGTCTGGTACATGTGGCCACTGGGAAGACAAAGACGGCCGGGCGTGGTGCTGGCCACCCACCCCCTGTGTGCAGTGCCGGCCTTCATAGGTGCTCGCTAACAGCACTTGCCCCAACAGTCTGTTAAGGCTACACGGGGGATCTTTGTCTTTGATTTTATAATGGTCCACAGTTTTGGCTGCATGTCAGAATCGCCCTAATGTGGCTTGACTGTAATACATCTCGATGGGTCTCTATGTATCTCTACGAGTATCTATGGGTTTACGATCTTGGTAGGTGACCCATCGTTTGGGTTGCATGGCCGCAATCGCACTCGTGTGGCTTTTGTTTTGGATTTTGCATTCGTGAAAGATCTGGAAATATCTGATGGTACAATTGACACTCACAAGCGTGGTTAAGTATGATCAAGCAACTTCCAGACACGGCGTGGGGAGGCATTCATCCAGCATTGTACATTAATTACGGTTGCAATTACACAACCCTGCTATGAATTTGTAAACATCGTATTAAAATATTTACCTGCGCCATCAGAATTATTATTGCACACTATAATGGGAAAGTACCGTACGCTACTTATAAGACGCTCTCGAATGACCAACCCAACACGCGTGGCCCGTGCTTATAAACATATCACACATCAAGGCAAAGATCCCCCCTCTCGATTGAACAGACTTTTGGGAAAAGTTGTGTGAGTGATCACCTATGAAGGCCGGCATCACGCCCGACTAGCCTTTGTCTCTCCAGTGGCGATGTTTACACACCGCACCGGGTACTCATTTGAGGCTGAGTCGACCTTGGGGAGGCCCAGGACCGGTTCAAGATAATCATTACCGGTGTTGGCCGTGAGCAGGGTTCATAGTGCAATGCGCTAACCACTGCACTACAGCTCCAGACAATAATACGCAAACCCAACCATTGATTTTAAAATACAGGGGGACACACAAAGTGCATCATTCAATCCGAAGAAAACGTTTGAACCAAAAGGGGTAGGTGGTTTCCCTATATTCCATACATCACAAGCACACGGTACAATATATATTGCAGCAATACAGAATGCGCATGCAGTAAAAAAAATCCCCTTACGTCTGTTTACCCTTTTGACACCTTTGGTGCATCCCCTGTCACTTGTCTCAGTCTGCATTAAACCATAAAACCAGTGTTGTTCATTGTGAACTGAAATGGAGCTGCATTGGGGTTATTGTACATCAAGATAAACGAGAGTAATGATTAGTAGGGATCTTCTTTCTTCAATGAACATCATTCGCCACGTGTACAGGAGTAAAATGCATTACCATTGCTTGTTGCTTTATTTTTACGTAACATTTCAACGTCATGCACCTACAGAATGGTTGTAAAAAAAACTCACCCCCTAAACTCCCAATAAGTGATAGGACAGTTGAGTGAGTGAGTAGAATTTTCCAGAACTGGACAGTTCCAGTTTAGGAGCAGATGTATTACTCAGAATTAGTCTAGTGGCACTATATTTTCATTGGCTGTGTAACGCTGTGTGGAAGCTACTGAGTACTGTCACTCCATCGAAGCTCCAGGTCTTCTTGACCAGTTATGCCCTCCCTTCTCTCTGCTTCCAAACCCTGCACCCTCTGAAGGAACATCTCCACCGGTTTGAAACATTCAGGATGGCCTGCCTACAATCCGTCATGGGCTTAACCAGGCTGGCTTGTGCGAGGTCACAGATCCTTGAAAGATCTTGGCACAGTCTCATCGGAGAGCTCCTTCGGCAGACAACGCTGCGTTTGGTGGGTCATGTAGCCCACAAGCACAACCCAACCATGCCAAAATAGATTAGATTTTGCCGGATAGAGGGGGCTAAACATGGGTGGCACGGGCATAGAGAAAGATCAGCTGATGTGGTACAGGAGGATGTGGAGCTGAGTGGACTTGCAGGATGACTGGTACCAGCAGTGTCAAGATCGGCCTCTATGGGAGAGGGCAGAGGGAACGATGCTGACATCGAGAGGCAAGTTGGCACACAGTCAACCGATGGCACCTGGGTCTCTTCCCGCTGATCTCCTGCCAGCGAGCCTTCGACACTTCACGTGACATTAAAGTGCACCTAGCCTGGCATAGGCGCTGTTGTGATGTCACCGCCACTTAGTGGTGAATGTTGTGTCTGTGATAGTGTAGTGTGTCTGTGTTTGTGTGGGGAGCGGTGGCGCAGTGGTTAGCGCGCTGTGCTCCGATACCCAACGAACAGAGTTCGATTCCCGCTCACAGCCAACACCGGTAACGATTATATCTGAACCGGTCCTGGGCCTCCCCTAGATCGACTCAGCCTCAAATGAGTACCTGTGTAATCATCGCCACTGGGGAGACAAAGTCGGTCGGGCGTGGTGACCGGCCTTAATAGGTGCTCGCTAACAGCACTTGCCCCAGTAGTCTGTTTAATGCTATACGGGGGACCTTTGTCTTTGTCTTGTTTGTGAGTATGCATGTTACTGTATGTTGAAGATGTGAACCCCACGTAAAACAATTGATTATAAGAACATCTGATGCTCGTGACATCCGTGGCACTGCGGTATTCTAAGGGCCACATGGCATACACAGCCTCCTGTCAAACCTTGGTCCAAGCCATTTGGTTGGTCTAATAAACAGGGTGCTTCTAAACACGTTGACACTTGCATGGGACTATCGTTTTGAATGCAAAAAGAACGAATAATACACTGTAACATGATAACAAATGTATGTGAATAGCTTCAAAAACTCAAAGGGTCTCCACTTGTTCAACATCATTGTCAACACACGCCTGGAATCTTCTGAAGGTGCTCTCCAGAGCCCGGAGGCACCACATTTTTTGTGGTGTTGTTGCAAATTCTCAGAAGTGTTAACACTTTTTTAAGCACCCTATATTTACTCTGAATTACATCACGAACAATGTCAGTATTTGACAGATTACGCACTTTTACAAAAAGGCCACGTTTTAAAACTCACACCACTGCCGACGGAAGGGAGTTAGAGATAAGCCCCTCTTAAGGGGGCATTTGGCCTACTCTTCCACGTTGACCGTACGTCGTGAAAGAAGTCGGGTGAGCCACAATTTAAGCCACCGGACGCCAAAAAACATGAACAAGAAAATCCACGAAAAAAACTGCAAAGTCTTTCAGAAAAAAAGCACCGTATATGAATTCTGCGTGCAAAAATCCCAGTGGGATGCAAGTAAATCAACAACAACCATAAGACAATTTAAATTAAAGTCATCAGTCTAACTCTGTACTACAACAAACAAATATGGCTAAACCAAAACGTTTTCGAAATCAACAAAATTAAGCTAAAAGCAATGTAGCGTGGCTGGGTGGACAGAGCGGATCGATGCAATTAACTTGCTAAAACAAATCAACTGCCGTATAGGAAGATTACAGACGGCAACATCTATACAAGTATCAATGATATGAATACTGCATTTAATTCACAACACAATAAACAATACTTACAGAGTATGAGTTCCTTATAGATTATTACATCGATTCTATTTAAACAGTCGCGCGAATCGATATCTGAATCGAAACATTATTTGACGCGCGTGGCGGACGTACAATGTTTATACATTTGTGAGCTGTAAACTGCAATGTAGCGATATATAAATGAAAAAAAAATCTAATCAGAATTTATTTTTAAACTAAATATCAGCTTATAGCAACTACGGTAATCGATCGGTTCATAATCGAGGAATCGATGCACAGCCGATGGAACCTCGGAAGTGAAAGTACCCGCGACGTCACCACTGAGTCCGGAAGAAGAAGCAGAGTGGACTGAACCAACTACGCAACACTTTTGCAATTTAACTTTAAATACAAAATTCGTAATTGTAGCAAATAAAATAAAAATTGGTGATTGAAGAGTTTATCTCTTGCTTGATATACTGCCGTGTGCAATTGAAAAAACTGTGCATCAGGAAATAAATGAATTTAAATGCAATTCTCATTAAAAGTTGCTTCTAAACCCCCCCCCCCCCACGTGTATTGGACTCGTCCGAGGGAGGAGGGGGAGGGGTCAGTCAGGGGTCAGGGGTCAGGCGAGTTGAACCACTTTCCCGCCAAATCTCACCCCGCCACCACCACCACGATCATCGCCTACCACCTCACCGATCAAACTCTCGTCGCACCACACAACCCGCGTTCATTTGCCCAGCAGCAATCGCGATGGGGTTCCTGGAGGAGTGCGAGGCGGTGCTGGGAAGCCGCGACCTCTACGCGCTCCTCGGGGTGGCGCGCGGCGCCTCCGAGGGCGACGTGCGACGCGGCTACCGCAGGAAGGCCCTCGACACCCACCCCGACCGCGCCGGGGCCGGGGCCACGCGCGCCTTCCAGGCAGGCCCCCGTCGTATTACACACACACACGTGTGTATACACACACGTGTGTGTGTGTATACACACACACACGTGTATACACACACACACGTGTGTGTACACACGTGTGTACACACGTGTGTGTGTGTGTACACGTGTACACACACACACGTGTATACACACACACGTGTACACACACACACGTGTGTATACACACACACATGTGTGTACACACACACGTGTATACACACACACACGTGTATACACACACACACGTGTGTACACACACACACACGCGTGTGTGTGTACACACACACACACGTGTGTATACACACACACGTGTGTACACACACACACGTGTGTACACACACACACGTGTACACACACACACGTGTACACACACACACGTGTACACACACACACGTGTACACACACACACGTGTACACACACACGTGTGTATACACACACACACGTGTGTACACACACACGTGTATACACACACACACGTGTATACACACACACACGTGTGTACACACACACACGTGTGTACACACACACACGTGTGTGTACACACACACACGTGTGTACACACACACACGTGTGTACACACACACACGTGTGTACACACACACGTGTACACACACACACGTGTGTATACACACACACACATGTAAATACACACACACGTGTGTGTATACACACACGTGTATACACACACACACGTGTGTACACACACACACGTGTGTGTGTGTACACACACACACGTGTGTACACACACACGTGTGTACACACACACACGTGTACACACACACACACGTGTATACACACACACGTGTATACACACACGTGTACACACATGTATACACACACACGTGTACACACACACACGTGTGTACACACACACACGTATTACACACACACGTGTATATGTGTGTATACACACACGTATTACACACACACACGTGTATACACACACACGTGTATACATGTATATACGTGTATACACACATGTATTACACACACACCGTGTATACACACGTATTACACACACGTGTATATACATATGTGTGTATATACACACATGTGTATATACACACATATACACACATGTGTATATACACACACACACGTGTATATACACACATGTGTATATACACACATATACACACGTGTATACACACGTATTACACACACACGTGTATACACACACACGTATATATATATATACACACATACACATGTGTATATACACACGTATTTACACACACGTATTACACACACGTATTGTATATACACACGTAAATACACACGTAAATACACACGTGTATACACACACATGTATATACACATATATACACACGTATATACACACACATGTATATACACACGTATATACACACACACGTATATACACACATGTATATACAAAGATAAAAGACAAAGATCCCCCGTATAGCCTCAACAGACTGTAGGGGCAAGTGCTGTTAGCAAGCACCTATGAAGGCCAGAACCGTACACGAGGGGGTGGGTGGCCAGCACCACGCCCGACCGCCTTTGTCTCCCCTGTGGCGATGTTTACACACCGCACCGGGTACTCATTTGAGGCTGAGTCTACCTAGGGGAGGCCCGGGACCGGTTCAGATATTCGTCACTGGTGTTGGCCGTGAACGGGAATCGAACCCGGGTCGCCGGGTTCATAGCGCAGCGCGCTAACCACTACAGTACCGCTCCCCACACACGTGTATACACACATGTATATACACACGTATATACACACACACATACACACGTGTATATATACACACATGTATATACACATATATACATACACATATACACACGTATACACACGTGTATATACACACACGCATATACACACATGTAAATACACGTATACACGCCTATACACACACACGTATATACACACATGTATACACACATGTATATACACACACATGTATATACACACACACGTATATACAGGTAGTCCCCGACTTACGATGGAGATGCGTTACGACGACCCCATCGTAAGTCGAAAATATCGTAAGTCGAAGATGGCCTCGCCTACCCAGGATTCTTAAAGAATGGTGATAATTTAGCAAAACAGAGCAATTTATCGTGGTAACCTTAAAATGAAATCGCTAAAGCTACGTATCATACATGCATTGAACGTATCGTAACGTATCATATTGTGCTGTACTCACCAAGATTCTGTCCGTCGTCTGCACACTTGAACGATGTTAGGTTGTTGATGGCAAATTTTGTCGTATCGCCATCGTAAGATCGAAATATCGTAAGTCGGAGCATCGTAAATCGGGGACTACCTGTATACACACATGTGTAATAACCGTAATATTGTGGCGGATTGTAATGCTATATACAGGGAAAACACGCAAGCGAGAGATACTGGCACGGTTGTAATGTACTCTGTGGGTTTTTCGGTAAAGTCACGTAGGTGAAAACTAAATAGAATTACTATTTTGCTGGAGCAGTCACACCTGATGACGGATGCTTGTGTTGCTTCCGAATCGTCGTGATTTAATTTAGTTGTTTTTATTTTGTTTTCACCGACGTGACTTTACCGAAAAAACCAAAGAGTATGGATCTTTGCAGTCACGAAAACTTCAAATCTAGGGTTGTGATGATTGCTCAGAGACACTGCGCCCGAGGTTTAGGGCCGCAAGCGCCTTCCAGGCACGTCCATAGTATCATATCAAGTAGTTGTAACGAGATGTAATAATATTATGACGGTTATGATGCTATATGCATGGAAAACACGGGTGTTGGGGCCACACAGGCCGAAAATGTTGTAATCACAATTATAACGATGTTCCATACGGTTATAATGATGTCAGTCAAATGTAATATGATACAGATAACGAAACGGAATTATCACCTGGGTTGGGACCACACGGACTTTCCAAGTGAATACTATGCTATGATAGAGTTATAATTCTATTTACTATCAGAACACAGGTCGTACACAGCCTCCTGTCAAGCCCCCCTGCTCGATGAATGCCGTGTTGGGCATGTTTGACCATACTTCACACTGATCAGTACGAATTGGTTAGGGTGGAGGTAGGGGTGAGTGTCCTGGATCGGTTCAAATAATCGCCACTGAGGTTAACCAGCGGCTGGGAACCCAACTCTTGGTAGCCGGGTTCATAGTGCCTTGCGCCAAACACTGCGCCACCACTCTATAGATATGGTTGCCAACATCCAGCCTCAAACATAATTCTTTGTTGTTGTTGTGTTATTATTGTTGTGGTGGTGGTAACAGCTGCTGGGCAAGGCATACACACTGCTCAAGGACAAAGACACCCGCGCCGCATACGACGAGAATGGCACCGTGGACGAGGAGTCGGACGTGTTGAGCCAGGACCGCGACTGGGAGCAGTACTTCCGCATGCTTTTCAAGAAGGTGACACGCCGCTTATCTGGTCATCCTCGCATGCAGCGGCTTTTGACTAGACATCAAACAAAGACAGTCACTGTGTCGCGCACTTTCAGATGCTCTTCTGCAGCCGTCTGGAACGCTCTTCTTTCTGATATTGGGAAGCCACTGGAGCTATGCACTTCTAAATCCGGATTGAAAACTCATTTCTTTAGAACTGCTTTTTGCCTTTCGTTTGATGTCCTACCTGCCCCTGCACCTCCAATTAGCATGGTTGGCTACGTATGGTGCGAAAGAAGTTCAACATACATATACACACAGGTGTCACTGTAAACATGTCTCATCCTCCCCAGACACACAGGGACGCAGACAGCCAGCAACCGCACCTGGGTATCAGCTTGGCAAAAACCTGTGAATCAACATACATATTTGCCAACAGAAAAAGGCTGAGGATCAGTTTCTTAGTTCAAGTTTTTTCTTTCCTATGCAGTCTTGCGCCTCCCTTTTCATTTAGCTCTCCATTCTTCAAGTTTTCAAGCAGTTTTCATTTCTACATCTTTGGCTTAATTTTCTTAACATAGCCCTTTATCGATAGAGCTTTCTCCAGAAAGCCTTCAACTTTGACAAATGCTCAATCCAGATGTTTTTTTTAAAGAGCCCTAGGTAAAGTGACTTCAGCATTCCTTAGCACTGTGGCCTCATCTTACAAGTATATTCTGACACAGCAGTGCACTGCTAGTCGTGAGAATTATGATTGGAAATGTGTTAATCTCATGACAACATCAATAGGACTATTGGTATGATCTTAGACTTTGGTCCTTCCCGTGCTGTTCCGCACATCTGGCAACACAGTTTTTCTGGTGTTCAGTCAGCTGAGCCACATCACCCAATGTTATTCCAATGACCTTTAAATCGCTGTCCATCATGCCTCTCCAATTCTTTTTTGACCTTCCTATTTTCCATGCTCCTTTCTATATATTCCAGTTCACAGTCTGCCTTGCAATGTGGTCTCATCCATATGAAACAGATGGTTTAACCATCTTAATCATCTCCAGGGGATTCTCATGATGTCCTCCATCTCTGAAAATAAAAATAGAAATTCTGAAAGAAAAAAAACATTCAAAGAGACTATAATCTTGCAGTCCCATCTGTTGCTTGGCAGATCACAGTGGACGACGTGCGGAAGTTTGAGAAGACTTACAAGGAGTCGGAGGAGGAGCTGGCGGACCTGAAGCAGGCGTACGTGAGCTGCGAGGGCGACATGGACGGCATCCTGGAGACGGTGCTGTGCGCCACCATCGAGGACGAGCCGCGCTTCCGTGCCACGCTGCAGGCGGCCGTTGACGCACAGGAGCTCCCCGACTTCCCCGCGTTCAGCCAGGAGAGCAAGCAGAAGCGGCAGAAGCGCCGACGCAAGGTGCACGCTTCCTCACATTGCCGCGGGTCGCAATGCCGAGTGCATGAGAGCCGACGTTGCCGAGAACAGGGGTCACACAACTTGTACGTTTGGCTCACTGAAGTGGTCATTTACACGCAACTTGTGGGTGTGTGTATATAATTGGGATGTAAAGATTAATACAAATATTTTTTTCGTAATTATCTTCCTGAAATTGTATCGCGATTGTGACATAAGTTAAATATTCCATTCATATCTCTCACTGAGCGGTGCAAACCTTCATGTCAGAATAAAAGAGGATAATGCAGAGCTACCTCTGATATTCAGTCAAGTGACCTCTGATCCACACAGATGGTGCAGCACTTTCCCACCCATCATCGTCATCGCGTGATTGTTAACTCAATATATTTTAATCTTATAGCTGAAATGTTTCCAGATTAAGTGCAGAACCAAATTTAATGTGTTTATATTTTGTACAGTCGTTGGTGACTGGAATGAAACCATTAAATCACGACACATGAGCACATTGTTTAATCACAGGGGGCTGCTCAGATTCAAACTCAGCATTTCAATAGTGCTAGCTCAGTGCTCTGATTTCTGATCCATCCACTAACCATGATTTTAAATATTCTAATTATCATTTCATTATGCATGTAAGAAATATGTTTTTATCCAGTATGCTCACATGACATCTCCATATATATAAAAGGCAAGTTGTGAATATGTGTGTCTGTTCAAAATGTTTAGTGTACTTCCCGACATGCAACAAACTGCAAATTTGCCATGTGGGTACTTTCCAGTCTGTATACCATGCAAAAATTATAAAAATACACTTTTTTTTGGGGGGGGGGGGGGGGAGCTCAATAATGCATATTTTTTGCACGGCAAGTGAGCTGTGACAAATCTGTCATGTGACCCGCGCATGTGGAAGCGTAACGCATTGTAGTGTAGTGGTTAGCGCGCTGCACTACGAACCCGGCGACCCGAGTTCGATTCCCGCTCACGGCCACCACCGGTGACGATTATTTAAACTGGTCCTGGGCCTCCCCTAGGTCGATTCAGTCTCAAACGAGTAACTGTTGTGGTGTGAACATCGCCACTGGGGAGACAAAGGCGGCCGGGTGTGGTGAATCCAAGTCCCGGGTGAAGCCGGGTAGTACAGCTAGTACATTGATATGTGTCACAAGGGCAAAAAAAAAAGCATTTCAGATCCTGAATGGGTGACTGTTAATTAAATTGTGGGAGGGGTAAATTTTCACCTCTGGCATGTGCCAACTTGCAAGCAATCCATGGCCATGTAAATACATGTGGTACAGCTCACTGACCCAGTTTAATGTCATGCTTAAGAGAAACAGCTTTTTAAAATGCGGAACATCAGCATTTCTTTACGGTGGCAGCTGACAAGCAAAGTTGGCGAAAGTGCCATGCAGATACAAAGATCTTTTATTCTCTCATTGGGGTTTTCCATGGTAGTGTTGCCTCATCATGATGTAGTCATCCTTGTATTGTGCATAAAACGAACTCATTAAAATAAAGTGTGACCTACGATACTAAAAGTTGGCGTTTGTCTGCAGTACACAGCCGAAGCGAAGGAAGCGGAGGCTCACGCGAAGGAACTTGGGCTTGATGGATCCGATGACACTCTCCAAGCACTCATTCTGGTGAGGAGTAGGGCATTCTCTACACGAGCCTGTGGCCTGCAAACACACAAGGAGTGCTTGTCTAATAGCACAAGATTAAATTCCTGAAGTGTTAATTGTACGAGCGCTCGTGTGGCAGGTTGTTGAGTTATTTATGATGGTACTATAATACATGCAGAGCCCTGTGAAGGCCTCCCAATGTCATGCGGGCCCGAGGGGATTAGTTTACTATAATTCACCCTGCTGGTCAGTACGGGTTTGTGATTGCAGGGAGCATAGGTGTATCCAACGATAGGACTCTTATTTTAAAGACTCAATTGGCAAACAATAATTGCATTCCCATTTGGGTAGATCCATTAGGAGGGGTGTAACACTACACGAGTTTCACGGTTGTTCATTGGATTCCAATTTTGAATGTATTTTACTGGTAGGAACCTACTGGTTACACCAGCCCACAGGGGATTATTGTGTCCGTCGTGCAGGGAGGGGCTGGGTGGGGAGGGGCTGGTCACCCCGTGGTGCCCTTATAAAACTCAACGTTTAACCTACTCACGCCGGCTTGTGCCCGCCCTCACAGTCGGGCATATTTGCGGAATACACCACGCCGCCGTTGACCCTGGCCATTGACCGAGAAACCCAACGTTCCTACCAGCTCCCTCCGCAGGAATGTGTTAAGTCACATTCATTTCACATTGTCCCCTACTTACCACACTGTCTCTATTTGAATAATTGTAGCTGTTTGCGAAAGTCCGTTCTCTCGCAACTGCCATAAACAATTACATTACTGAAATTACACTTGAAGATTGTCGGCGTTGATGTACGCGCATGTGTTTTAACAGAAACGTCAAGAAAACAATAAGAATCAGATGGACTCGTTTCTGGCTGATCTGGAATCTAAATACTGCAAGAAAGGGAAGAATGCAGGCCCTGCGACGAAGAAAGGCAAAGGGAAGAAGTGAATCTGCATGATTTCACAAATTCGGCATCGACACAGCTGACATTATGTTCGCAGCACCAAGCAAGACGTCAGTGTTACGATGAGTTGCTGCAGCTGAGCAAGTAGACAAACTAGTGGCTGGGGTGAAGCCAGTGGTTTTGAAATGTGGGGACAGTAGAGTGTGAAATTCTATCGTCATGTAGTTAAATAATTTAAATACACAATGTGCAGGTTTGCACGAGTGCTTATTGTTTTGGTGTATATGAATACATACTCTGTTACGCGTGTATTTAGATGCTATGGAGAGGGGAAAAAATGGATGTGTAAAATAAATGTGATTAAATGATACTGAAAATGTGCTCCCAAGGCACTTACGATACATGGATTTGTCCCTTGTGATGTAATTGTGAACTCGATGTAGCAGCAGCTCTGCAAGCAGTTTCGTTTCAGTGCAGCACGTGGGGAGGGTAGAGCGATTACCGATACAGCGTGACTTTCTAAAGTAAAGGGGTTTTTCATTTTAGTTTATCACATGTAAAAATGTAATTGAATACACTTGTGCAAAACTATTGCGTCAATTCATTTATCATAACTTTTCACATACAGCTATGAACATGATGTAGCTATAGACATGCTCTATCTTGTATACTATAAAGCACTCCTTGAGGGCATCTGCACAGCACTATCAGTCTCAGAACGTTGCATCCTGCAACTCTAAAATCTGTTAAATTACTAAGCCAAGCACCCAAACGTGACTTGGAACACAATGCTCATGCCCTAAAACAAAGAACACCTCACCAGTATCCACTGATAATAAACGGCAAATTTGAGCCAACTTTCAAGAGGGACTGAAGCCCCATCATTGCTAAATTCACTCCATAATCACTATATTTTTGACACCTACATAAAAAATGTTGTTAGATGTAAATGTATTTGTTGTCCTTCCCCCGCACCTCTGAAGATAAGCACGATTGGATACGTACGGTGTGAAAGAAGTTCTACATACCCTAACAAATTCATGTTCCTGAATCTATTCGTGTTAATCCATGTCCAATCAATGACCTCAGGAGGGTGTTTGACTTGTTGTTTTTGGTAATTGGCAGGGATATTTCTGCCAGAGACATGTAAGATTTGGCCAAGTTTCACGGACCGAGGCAGAAAAGGTTTAATATGTGAGGTCACAAAATATTTTACGTAAAATGGCTTCCGGATGACACCAATGACATAAGGGTGCCAATAACTTAAAAATGTGTAAAGCTATGGCAAAATGTACACTTCTGCTGGAAAGATGTTCGTGCTCTACGTATCTGGGACTTTCCCTATATTTGCAGAACACATGAGCACAATACATAGTAATGATTTTGCAAGATTCCGGTAGTGCATTGAAATGGTATTTCTTTGTAACAATTTCACCAATAACAAGCACTTCAGGCAAATGAAGAAAATCCATATTCCTGAAGATTGTCATTTCAAACATCAGCAACTCACAAAAATGTTACACACCATTTAGAATTAACTTGAATGTGTTCATGTGTGTAGTGGTTAGCGTGCTTTGCTACGAACCCAGCGACCCGAGTTCGATTCCCGCTCACGGCCAACACCAGTGATGATTATCTGAACCAGTCTTGGGCCTCCCCTAGGTCGACTCTGCCTCAATTGAGTACCTAGTACGATGAGTAAAAACGTTGCCACGAGGGAGACAAAGGCGGCCGGGCGTGGTGCTAGCCACCTACCCCCTCGTGTGCCATTCTGGCCATCATAGGTTCTTGCTAGCAGCACTTGCCCCAACAGTTTCTTAAGGCTATACGGGAGGGTCTTTGATACCTGAACACCTCAATAGATGGGTCCAGTTCGTGGGTCCCCAGCTGTTCAGATATGAATATTTATTTTAGATCTCAAGGACATTGCTACCTGCATCCACGGGCATTCTCCATCTGACTGAATCTTGTTCCAGACTCAAACGCCAGCATACCAATTCCAGACTACATTGGAACACCCCTGCCAGCATATACAGGAAATGCGTATTGTATGCAACTCCTCCCTACATTTTTGGAGCAGGGGAAGTCTTGCCAGCAGCGTTGACCATCTTTCCAGAGAGGCTATTGATGCCTTATCCGGTCTTGCACTTGGTGGCCAGATGTAGAATTGGGAGTTCACAATTCCAGCTGGCATCTGTGGCGTCACTCGGGGCAGAGGTCTCACACCTTCAATTTGTTGCAACTAATACCATTGTTCAGGTGATGCAAGTCTAGCTTGAACTGTCACCACAAGAAACTGTCGGGAAGTCCCCTGACTTATGAGAATCTGGAACTTTTGGGAAAGTCCCTATACACAAAAGTTACCCATGCAGGTTACACTCGATGCAGGATGCGGGACACTTGTTCATGCAAAACAGCGTGCTTGAGCATCGCTCCATTTTAAGTCGCGTGCTGCAATGAAAATCCCCATCTGCCCTTTGTAAAAAAATATATTTTAAATGTATTTGGTCAGAATCAACACAATGTGTGTGTTCACATTGTTTTCTAACAAATTGGACATCCTGTGAAAGAACGTATGCAAAAAACACTGCCTGAAGGACCTAACTAAAGTGAAACGGTAGCAGCACAAACATTCTCTGGACAATGAAACTCTGATATCAAACAGATTCCTGGGTGATTACATGCGATTGGAGGCCACTGTATTGTGCTGATGACCTTGGAGAGCAGAAGCTTCCGTGTTTATGTTTTCAAGTGTGCTGGTGGAGTTAAGAAGTGATTCTGTATTTGCTGGAGCGTGTTGATGGCTGATAAGTAAAAAACTGGCATTTGTTGAGTACACATTTTTTGATAAACGAATCCACTAAACTTGTTCGTCTGCCACCATTGACATTGCTCATTTAAATGTGGGCATATATAGCCCTGTGTTCCCTTGTGCCTTTTCATTCATTAGGTACAATAACAAGATCATAATGCTGACATTCAGCTTATAAACCAAGCTTATCTTTCAACGAGTGTTATTGAATCACTGAATACTAAGCAAGGTTTTAGTGCCTAAGCCAGCCAATGATACATTCCTTGACTAGAACTATTTTCAATGTTTGCCCTGATGTCAATTTGTAAACGGAGACCGCTGTCACTTTCTATGTGTAACATCGAGTAGTGCAGTCGAGAACTATTTGATGATACGTTTATTTGGGTGGTTTCCCAGGGTTGCATTGGGGGAAGAAAAATAAAAGTGCCTTTTTGAAACCATCAACACAAATATGCGCTGCTAAAGCAGATCATGCACTCAAAGGGCACCAATATTTTCTGTGGTTAAGGTACGATTAATTTTCTTGAAATATACAAATACATGAAACATTTTGCGAAGTTCCAAACTAAGGCATTGCAGTACCCTGTGACACTTCAATTATATTAATACATCAGAATGCTCTTAGTAAACTTCCAGATTCTGCTTTTTATTGCAGTATAACGAAACAAACAACTTTGGATCCATTCCAAAAAGAGGTGATGTTGGACGAAGTGATCAGGATACATATGTAGTGTTTTACTGGTAGGAACCTCCTAGTTACACCAGCCCACATGGGATTATTGTGTCCGTCTGTGCAGGGAGGGGCTGGGTGGGGAGGGTGGGGCTGGGTGGGGTGGGAGGGGCTGGGTGGGGAGGGGCTGGTCACCCCGCGGTGCCCTTATAAAACTCAACGTTTAACCTACTCAGGCCGGCTTGTGCTCGCCCTCACAGTCGGGCATATTTGCAGGAATACACCACGCTGCCGTTGACCCTGGCCATTGACCGAGCACCCCAACGTTCCTACCAGCTCCTTCCGCAGGAATGTGTTTGAATGGAGACCCAGTCTTCACTTGGAGGCGACACGGTTTATTATAAACTAGAACAGAACTCCCCTTAACTCCCACTATCTCGGGAGGTACAGCCTCTGGGCTAGCGTACCCTCACACTGGGTAACCTGGCTGTCAGCCCTCCGGCTATCTGTGCCCTAGGGGAGGCTACCTGACCCGACCCAGCCAAGGTACGGGTCCTGACCACTGGTCCACGCTCGGCCCCGACCCTTACAAGGACGTCGGGCTCGGGGTCCCAGGGTCCGAGCCGAGCTGGCCTTCGGTTCTTCGTCTTCAGAGCACTGCCCCGAGCTGTCCCAGAGGTGCCCCTTTTATACTCCTCTCGGGGGCTCTCCGCACCCGGTACCGCCCCCTTTTCTAGAACCTTCCAGGGGGCTCTAGAAGAACCCCCCAACCCCTCACCTGGGGGGGGGGGGGGGAGAACCCGGCCCTTCAAGGGTCCTGGCTCCCTCTGTCCTTCCCCAGCTCAGGGTGGCACCCCCTATGGGCCTGTGCCCGCAACTGCGGGTAAGTATACACCGACGGTATGAGATGTGCATTTCCGACGCTACACATATAAAAAACATTGGATTTGTGACTTGATGCAAATATTGCAGTGACATCGGTATTTTTTTTATGAACTACGGTTGACATAGCCCAGGATTGAATTAGGGGCAGCAAAACATGAAAGTGGCACTTAAGATATGCTTCATGGAAGCCATAAACACAGCACGGTTGGCTACGTACGGTACAAAATATGACCAATATACAAATACAACACAAATATGCGCCGAAATGTGTGTGAAGAGGCGATGTGTGAAAGCCAGTGGAGGTGCCCGTCTGTAATTAAACTAAACTATATTTTATATTTATCAGGTAGGGCCCAGTGAGCTCTTTTTCAGAAGCGACCTGGGCAAAAATGATAGATAAAGCAAACTCCAAATATACAACCTCCTGTATACCAGGCGAGGTAGTTAACATCTGAACCTTATGGCGGGACCCCGGGTCCAATAAGCCCCCGGCTCTCGCATAAACATATTATAATGTAAAAAAAACTTTGCTCTTTTTCACCAATGCATTTGAAGGATGGTGGCAAGTGTTGTCTTGTTAAACTATGCCTTTAAAACTGGAAACTACCTGCAATACCTCTATTTAAATAGACCATTGAAAACATAATGTACACCCCTCTGTAAATCATCGTGTTTCTCAGTGTGGATTTGTGAACACACTTTGTAAACAGTACATAAAATAGTACGCGTTTTCAATGCGCTGTTCATATTGTAACACGCGTTTATACCGATGTCACTCTGCAGAGTAGTGGGTCGCCGCTCCTCTTATCCGCATTGATACGAGCGGTATGTGGGGACTATGGCTTAACCGCAAAGAAAACCCTATCTGCACAGATGCATACGGACAAGAGAAGTATTATAATCAAACAGGAGGAATTTACGGTGCAACGCATCTCATCTGTTAAATATCTACAGGTAATAGGATTGTCATCGATTGATCCTGGCTGCAGACATTGGTAGGTCACAAATAATAATGAAGATAAGAGAGCAGTTTCACTGTATTATGCATCCCGTGATGACAAATAAAGGACTCGAGTCGTGTAGGCAGTTTGAGCAGCTTTGGGGTTAGGACTTATGATCCTGCCCATACCCGAGCATGGAGTGCATTCGCTTGTACATAATCTGGATTTACTCCATCTGGCCTGATACCACCTTTATATATAGAGCAGGGGCGGTTTCTTCATTAGGGCGATTGGGCGAACGCACCACCAATGTCATTCAACCACAGAGTCACGCTAGCCGTCACTGTCAGCCTCTGGATATAGTCCAATCAGCGTCATGTCACGTTCTGTGGAGTACCGCCTCTTTTGGGGCGATTTCACTACGGCTGAGAATCGCCCCGAGTGGCCCCATAGACTTACATTGAAAGATGTTGTTTTTCGAACGGGGGCGCTGCAATGCATTCTCTATGGCTTCCGGGAGGGCAAGCCCTAACGTGCTTACGTCATCATACGTGCTTACGTCATCATACGTAAGCACGTTTCATCCAACTATCATTTATCGCTACCTAGTGGAATCTTTAATAAAATAAACTTGAGTGGTTTGTTTTAATAGTGAGTATAGAAACAAACAAGATGTATTGTAAGAGTCACTTTATTTTTCATTAATATTAAAGAAGTGAAGTTGCCTTTACATGCTTAAGCTGTTAATTTATCCATTGCATGGGTGGACCTTATCCTTATCAATCATCCAGACATTTGCCCCCCTGAGAGATTTTGCAGGAGCCGCCACTGATATAGAGACATCTCTACTTAGGAACGAGTTAGGTTCCAGAGGTCTATTCGTAAAGTCGATTTGTTCGTAAGACCAATTTTACTCCCGTAGATTCCAAACAAGTTGTACGGCATTGTCCATTAAACACGGGGAATGGCTTTGAAAGTTGTATAATTTTCTGTAGCTGCCACTGGTTCTTCATTTTCTGCGGATGTAGATGCCGCCATCTGTCTGAACAGGCAACTGGACATACGGACAGGTTTGTTTGTATCTCTCAAAGTTCGTAAGTCGATTGTTCGTAAGTAGTGGAGTTCCTGTATAGAGGACCGCAGAGCTTGGGGTGGAATGTGGCACCAGGGTCACCGCCGGTCTCCCCTTCCCACTTGTCCGTGGCTGCTCGTGCCCGAGTCGTCGTTCTCTCTTCGACAGCAAGCGGATACCGTGCCGCGCAGTTACGAGTTGAAATTAATAAATGTTAATTGCGGGATGAAACACTTCGCTCGAGGCTGATGACAACTCAAATGTACATACCGTGCATAGTGGTAACCTCACAATTTGTATTGTGATTGGATGTGTGCGTGTTCCCCCTTTTGCCTTGCAGCAGTAAGTCTGATGAGGTGTCATTGAGATAATGTAACTCTTTGTTTTGACTAGACTGCTGCTGCTTACAGTGTTTGCATTGTAATGACATTTTACACTTAACACGGGAAACCATTTTCAGTTGCCACGCACTGAATAATCAGTACGGTAGTCATCAATATAATTTACATTCCTGAGTATTGTGAAAATAATCTGACTGGATAAGCAAATGTGCGAAATAGGAGGCTTGGGCCATCCTATTATACACCACATTAACTCCACTTATCTGTAAAATTAATAGCGGACAGTAGAACGAATTGGCCGTACGACTCCTCTTACCCACGGGAAGTCGCATCTGTTGGTGCAATCGCAGAGTTCAGTCACAACATCGGACTCGTAGCCGACAGCCGACTCACCAACCTCGACATCAACAAATCAAGTTGATGATCACCCTGCCATACGAGAGTAAGAAACGTGGATCCAATGATGCCAATATCAGCTCGTGTGCAGGTTGTCTGGAGTATCACGTCGCAAAATTGTGAATTTTTGAGGCCTTCATCCAGCAGTGGATTGACCATGGCTGATGATGTTGGAACTACCACAAGATAATACCAGGAATGATCATGTCCCTGTGCCTCCGATGAGCACGGTTGACTACCGACATGTGTTCAACATTCAATCATAGATACGTCACGAGACAATTGACCAATTAATTACATTATTAAACAAGGGGTTACTGTCATCTTCTTGGTTCTTTCGGTAAAGTCACGTCGAAGGGAAATAATAAAATAATACAAATAAAACATAATAAAATAATTCTCACGACGTTTCGGCCACAACGCAAGCAGCCGTCCTCAGGTGAAGAACAGGTCTGTCGGAAAGACGCTGTCTGTCTTTCCGACAGAAAAGACGCTGTCTGTCTTTCCGACAGACCTGTTCTTCACCCGAGGACGGCTGCTTGCGTTGTGGCCGAAACGTCGTGAGAATTATTTTATTATGTTTTATTATTTTATTATTTCCCTTCTACGTGACTTTACCGAAAGAACCAAGAAGATGAATCCCTGCAGTCACGAAAGCTTTAAATCTAAATTTAAGGGGTTACTGATAAGAGAGGATCATGAACACAAACCTGGTTTCGCCCCCAAGTCTGTATCATGTATTCGTCCCAGAAAATGATCTATATTCGTCGCTTTGGCAAGACGTTGTTGCTCAAAACGCCGCTCGATTCACAGAGTGGCAACAGAAAAGTTGGCCAACATTGACGTTTCTCTCGTCACGTGCGTGCGACTTTTGCTTTCCGCCTCATGCAAATTGAAGTGAGAGGTCGCCACCTCGCGTCTACTGTGTGACACGTGCCCTGTCAGTGCAATGTGTGTTCAGTTGTATG